CTAGGTACATCTTTTTTTTTTTTTTGCTAAATAACTACGTACATCTTGTTTTGATATCTTTTGTCTTTAATTATTATAGATTCAAGAAGACGATCCATCGTGGATACCGTGCTTATATGTGAACCCAGCAGATCCAATATGTTCAGAATATATTGGTTACTTCAAACACAAAATCTTCATGTCTAAGATCGGAGCAAGCCAAATCGAAAAAACCGGTGCTAGAACCTCGGTTAGGAGTCTACTGGTCGGAAGAAAAGGAACATCAGATTCTTCAACGGAACCTCTTCACCTTCTTCCATCGGCCGATATGACTATAAACAAGAACAAACCGACTGAGTCTAAGACAGCTCATGGACTTCACCAATGGTGGGAGCAAGACTCGGTTCTGAGGGCAAATTGGGAAAGCTGCTGCATTAGGCCTTATTCTGAAGGTAAATCGGGAAAGCTGCTGAATTAGGCTTACAAATGAAGCCTACATGATTGGTTCGGTACTTTGGTTAATTGCTATATCCATCTTCTTCCATTTCTTCTACTCTTCTTTTTTCTTCTACCATTTCTTGTGTGTTTCTCTTTCCCATGTTTTATATTTTTTTTTTTTATTTTGCTTTTTTTCTTTCTTTCTTTCTCTTGTGTTTGAAATTTCTCTATGTAACTGTTGATAATTAATTTCTTAAAGCTACTTTTTCATGTTTACACAACAAAGCAAATGTAACTGAAATATAATGTTAGTAGCCAACTAATTTGTGCAATGACAATGTTTTAGTCTAAAAGATTAAACATACTAGGATTTCGAGTTTAGAATTTGATAGAAATCAATGTGTCAAGATTTGGGATACAAAAGCATGAGACGTTGGATACATGATAAACAAAGAAAATGACTTAGTCCGATAATTAAGAGATTTTAAAAAATGGTAAATGAAAGCAAGTATTTATGTTAAACAAAACTTGTGCCCGATGTGGTCGGATAATATACTAATAATTTATGTATGACTTGCTCTTTGTCCAGAAGAACTGATATAAGAATTGTCGTATTCCGGAGTCAGAAACGATTCATAACATAAAAAAGCATGATGATTCTATATTAATCCAATCATCATATTCATACCAAGTCACTGTTTCCAAAAGTTAAGGTTTAGTTGAAAGCCAGTGTCACTTATTTATCGTTATGGACAGCAGATATACACCAGTTAACAATCACGACAAAGACTGGGCGAACTCATTTCAGTTCTGCGAATACTGTCGAGGCAACGATCCAAAATAGCAGAGACAGTGCTGATAAACTCTTCTTCGGTTGTCTCTGGGGACATTAAGGCTTCTGCATCGTTTATGATTTGTTCGATCACGGATTCTTTCTTGAGTGTTTCTCTGCACATTATGCTTCCAATGGCAAAAGGTGTGAGACCCTTTGCGGCACCTTTCTTCAGAAGCATGCTCGAGATGCGGAAGACACGGGCGCATGAAGGCGGAATCTCCCAGCCATGGAATCTCAGAAGTTCAATGTCTTGCTCGGGGTCCAAGGACTTTATGTATTCCAATGTCTCGGAAGAGTAAGGCTCTTTTGCTTGAGGCCAGTATAGCCACTCAAATGTGCAATCTTCAAACTGCACAAGTACAAATGAAAAGTGTTTTTAGTCATAATATTCTGAAGCTGATGATTCCGATTATTTTGTTTAGTTTTAAAATTTGGAAAGTTAAGTATGAATCAGTGTTGGTATATAGAAGAGTCGTTTACCTTATTGGGAAAACAATAGCCGTGATCGATTGGAGTAAGCACGATCTGACCATCTTTTCCGTCTCTGCTAACCAAAATGTTACCACCGTGACGATCTGCATTAGCTAGCCTAATGTCTAGAACCGATATCTTGTGAACCTGATCGACAGGGAATACTCTGTATCCCATATCCTCGCAAGTTCCAACATTACTCACAAACATCTGCAGTGAACCAATCTTTGTGTTCTCCAGAGAGTAACTGTAACCATTGGGATGGTTAAAACCTTTGTGCAAGCATTTGACCATTGTTGTTGGTGGAACTCCAGCAAAACCGGTTTGATCATGAGGAAAAGTTCGTGGTCCAGTCACGGGATAGTCCAAAATGTAGGCTGCTACTTCTCTGAGAGCTCCTTCACCAACATGTGTGCCTTTCTTTAGTCCCTCGCCGTCAACTGAAACAGGCAGTCCGTGCGGATTGTTCACAGCCATTGGTTCTTCGTCAATGGGCTTGAAGACAGAGACATACTTGTGTCCAGATGAATCTTGCATAAAATAGGCTCCTCCTGATCCATCAGATGATTTAATTGGGCCATTCCCCTTCTCCAAGCCTTCTAAAGTGGAGCTTATAAGCTCTTTAAGCAATGAAGGGAGTTTAATTTCAGGATTCACAACGACAGGCTCAAATAAGAAGTCTTTAGGCTCTGCTTGTAGTGAAAAATCACTAAGAATATATCCTCTTCTACCATCCGCTGAATTGTTACTGTGATTTTCGATACTCACCTCAAAATCCTTCCCCACAGGTTTTGCTCTGACTTTAGCGGATTTCCTAATTAACAAGTGAATCACATTCTCTCCGTTTTTACAGAGATCAGTGATGAGTCTCTGGTCATCAAGCTCTTCACCATCTAATGTGAGTTCATGATCCCATGGATTCACGAGGTACTTTCCCTTAGAAGCTATTTGCTGCTTCACGTAACCAACATTTCTACTCCTCTCAACAAAGAGCTCGAAATCCTTCCCGCCAACAGTTCTTACAGAAATAGCCTGGAGATCTGAAAGACTAATAACCAAATGCAACAGTTTCCCATCAGCAAGACCATAATCTCGAATTTGGGAATCATTTCGAGCTACCTCTCTACCATCATACACCAGTTTCTGCTTCTTCACAAAAAATCCCTTGATACTCTGAATCCTTAGCTTCACGGATGCAATTGAATCTGACTCCATCACCCGCATCGGGATCAGCGATCCAGCAATAGTCAGAAAAACCAGGATTGGGTCGTCTAAGTTCAAACCAAATCGTCCAATAATGCCTGGAAAGTTGACAAGTTCTTCCAGGGCTGGACTCAAAACTACACTAGCAACTGACATTCCAACTGTACACTTCTATCCTAAATCTTGAAGAGCCGGATTCCTGGGAATGAAGAAAACCTGGGAGCTCAACAAGAAATCCCCCAGGAATCAATCTTCTTCCGTGTGCTTAAAAAAGACCAAGTTCCTGCACGGATTCAGGAACTTTGAACTGAAGGGCTTTTTAACTCACATCTTGCCAACCAATATTTCCCAAAGATTCATAATGAAGTTAAAACAATCCCAAACCACCAAAGGATTAAGCTTTCATTCAAATCCAAACTACAGCTGCTGAAAGATATCTTGTGATCGCATCAATTGCAAAGAACCTGAATGAACAATGATCACAGGAATCAGTCATGGAACATCAATAAGATGATTGATACGCAACCAAAGCTAATGTGAAGGGAAAGTCAAAACACAACAAAAGAAATCCCAATACTGTGAAACAATCAAAACCCAATTTCTAATAAACCAAAGTTATTAAAGATGTAAATCAAAAGCAAAAGATAGAAAAGCATTCAAGCCAACCTCTTGTGTAGATGATGAACATGCCTCTCTAGTTTTATCTTAGAGGAATATATAACCTTAAAACTTTTTCCTTGTCAATTTACATAATTAGAATTCTTCATAGCTAAAATTAGCTCAAAAGCATAACAAAACAACGGCCACAAATTAAGTTTCAGGTCAACGTCTTATTCGGAATTTTTATCAAAAAGCCAACACAGCCTGGCCTAAGTTGTAAATGCTTATCTATCTGATTACTAAGTTATTTTAGGTTTCATCACAAAACGGCAAAATTAGATTATACTACTAATTCCCACACTTTTACATATCAGAGGAAAGCAACACAAATCAAATAATTTCAATCCATATCAACAAACTCCAGTTCTTATTTTTCTCCATTGTTTATATCACTCAGAAAAGTCTCGGATCATAAAACGAACATCCAGAAAATCTCCACACTGTTGTTCTCTAATTCTTACTCACAAATTTCCCGATCATCGAATAGATACAACTCATCTAATTCATGATCAGAAGAGACACCAGCAAGAAAATCGAAAACAACACATAAATCAATTCTTCAGAGGGATCGAAAAAAAGCCAAAAGAAAAAAATAGGTCATACCTCGGAATCGAAATCAGTGAAGCGATGAATCAACCGAGTCATGCTTCTCGGTATAATCGGAACTGGTGTGTTGATGCACTTACTCACCAAGTTTCCGAGAATCGGGAAACCCTCTCCAATTTTTTCCCGAGAAATTTTTAACGTTCCCAGAAAGGGAG